TAGAGACAGGATTTCACCATGTTGCCCAGGCTGGTCTCAAACTCCTGAGCTCAAGCAATATGGGATTACAGGCATGAGCCAGCACACCTGGCCACCAAATTACTTAAAAAAATAGTGCTTTATTGATATGTAGTTTACATACCTTACATTTCACCTATTTAACGTGTACAGTACAATGGGTTTTAGTATATCAAAGTTCTCCATTCATCGCCACAATCAGTTTTAAAGTGTTTTCATTTGACATGGGAGAATCGATTGAACCCAGGAGGCAGAGGTTGTAGTGAGCTGAGATGGCATCACTGCACTCTAGCCTGCCTGACAGAGTGAGACTCTGTCTCCAAAAACAAACAAAAAAAAGTATTATCATCCCAAAAAGAAACTCTGTTTCCATTGACAAATCATTCTTTATCTCCTTCTACTCTTCTCCCAACCCCAGGCAACATCTGATCTATTTTCTGTCTGTATAGATTTTGCCTGTTCTGGATATTTCATATAAATGGAATCATACAGTATGTGGTCTTTTGTGACCAGATTAATTTTGACATAATTGCAGTTCCTAAAGCGTTACATAAACACTGCTCTTTTGCTCTTTTTTTTTTTTTTTTTTTTAAGATGGGGTTTCACCATGTTGGTCAGGCTGGTCTTGAACTCCTGACCTCAGGTGATCCGCCCGCCTTGGCCTCCAAAGTGCTTGGATTACAGTAAACATTGCTCTTGACCTATAATCTGAATTTCTTAGTACTTTGAACTTGGGCAGTCATCATCTTATAGATATCTAAAAAATTAACTTTTGTTATGGGAAATTTCATGTATATTCAAAAGCAAAGAATAAGAGTAGGCTGGGCACAGTGGCTCATACCTGTAATCCCAGCACTTTGGGAGGCCAAGGCGGACGGATCACCTGAGGTCAGGAGTTCAAGGCCAGCCTGGCCAAGGTGGTGAAACCCTGTGTCTACTAAAAATACAGAAAATTAGCTGGGCGTGGTGGCAGACTCCTGTAATCCCAGCTACTTGGGAGGCTGAGGCAGGAGAATCACTTGAACCTGGGAGGCAGAGTTTGCAGTGAGCCGAGATCATGCCACTGCACTCCAGCCTGGGCCACAAGAGCGAAACTTTGTTTCAAAAAATAAATAAGTAAATAAAAGTAAATGTTACAATAATCCTCCAGGTACTTAAAACCAGCTTCCATAGTGATTATCTTGCACAGTTATCAACATATGGCCAGTTTTGATTTAGCTATAGCCACTTCCCTGCCACTGTCCTTTCCGCTGTACATTATTTTATTTTTTGAGACAACGTCTTGCTCTGTTGCCCATGTTGGAATGCCCAGTGCCATCAAGGCCACTGCTGAGGTCCTTCTACCTCAGCCTCCTGAGTAGCTGGGACCACAGACACACACCACCACATCTGGCTAATTTTTGTGAGTTTTTTGGTAGAGACAGGGTTTTTCCGTGTTGCCCAGGTTGGTCTCTACCTCCTGAGCTCAAGTAGTCCACCAGCCTTGACATCCCAAAGTGCTAGGATTACAGGCATGAGCTACCATGCCCAGCCTCCTCTAGATTATTTTAAAACTAATCTCTGACATTATATTATTTCATCCATAAATAATTTGGCATGTATCTTTTAGAAATAAAAATTTGTTTTAAAAAGGCAAACCTATAATATTACTAAACCTAAAAAATTAACAATAATTTTAAATATAATACCTAGCTAATAATTCCAGTTTTCTCAGTAGTCCCATTAATGTCTTTTCACAGTTGTTTTATTTCAAGTCAGGATTAAAACAAGATACACACGTTGCATTTTGATGATAAGGCTCTGAAGTCTTTTTTTTTTTTTTTCCCAGTACGATACCCTCTGTTTTTTCCCTTTCCATTTATTTGTTGAAGAAATTTGGCCATCATCTTATAACATTTCACACATTGTGGATTTTGCTGACTATAGCCTAGTAGATTTTTTTTTTAAATGTTCTTCTAGCTCTCATTTTTCTTGTAACTTAGTACTTAGAGCTAGCTCAATTAAAATCAGATACAAATTTTAAAAATAAGAATATTTAATAGGAAGTTTTTTGTATTTCGTACACCATATAGGCACCATACGTAATGTCTGGTAGTCTTTCTTTTGTTATGATTGATCAGTGAGTAGACATCATCTTAACCCTATCTTCTGTTGAATCTAGAAATTCCCTTACAAATGGCCACCTCTATCTCTGCTTAAATTCTATTTTTTTTTTTTTTTTTTGGCAGAGTCTTGTTCTGTTGCCCAGTGTGGAGTGCAGTGGTATGATATCAGTTTATTGCAACCTCTGCCTCCCAGGTTCAAGTGATTCTCCTGCCTCAGCCTCTCAAGTATCTGGGATTACAGGTGCGTGCCACCACATCCGGCTAAGTTTTGTATTTTTAGTAGAGACAGGATTTTGTCATGTTGGCCAGGCTGGTCTTGAACCTTTGACCTCAGGTTATCTACCTGTCTCAGCCTCCCAAAGTGCTGGGATTACAGGTGTTAGCCACTGCACCCTGCCTTCTTTTAAAGGAATCAGAATCTACTCCCTTCAGGAGGTTCCAGTGGCCACCTTCTTATCTAGGAATCACACTTGGCTTGATTAGAGAAACACCCAATTCTAAACATTACTCTATAATTCTTTTCTTTTCTTTTTTTGAGACAAGGTCTTACTCTGTCACCCAGGCTGGAATACAGTGGCATGAACATGGCTCACTGCAGTTTCAACCTTCCAGGCTCAAGTGATTCTTCTGCCTTCGCCTCCCAAGTACAGGTGGAGCCACCATACCTGGCCAACTTTTTAATGCTTTTTTTTCTTCTTCTTCTTCTTCTTCTTTTTTTTAAGAGATGGTGTCTTGCTATGTTGCCTAGGCTGGTCTTGAACTCCTGGGCTCAAGCGATCCTACTGCCTCAGCCTCCCAAAGTGCTGGGATTACAGGCATGAGCTACCATGCCCAGCCATAGCTATAATTCTTAAACCTGGCTACCTAGTCATCTGAGGAGTGGCTCAGAAAACCCCAAAAAACACATATATACAGAAATAATTTTATAGAAATAAGAACATAGCACACATGCTGTTTTTATTATAGACAACTTTCCTGTCCCTTCTCTCACAGTCAGTCTCTACCTCCCCAGGTGATTATCTAGTGTGCATACATTGTATTTTTCTGTTCATACAATCCTGTGTAGACCTACATATACATAAACAGTGTGTTTGGTTTTTTTTTTGCTTATAGATCATTTTACAGTTTTTTTTTCTTTGAATGCAACAATATTTCATTAAAATTCCTTTAAATAATCTAATTTAACTCAGTTTATTCTTGTTAAGAGACTGGACAATATTTGGTATTAAACCATAATGTATTTAGCTAGTCTTCTATAGATGAGCACTACTTTATTTCTAGTTTTTGGCTACTATAAATTATGTCAGCAGAAAACATTCTTGGTTGGGTGTGGTGGCTCACGCCTGTGATCCCAGCACTTTGGGAGGCTGCAGTGGTCGGATCATGAGGTCAAGAGATCGAGACCATCCTCACCAACATGGTGAAACCCTGTCTCTACTAAAAATATAAAAGTTAGCTGGGCGTGGTGGCGCGCACCTGTAGTCCCAGCTATTCAGGACCCCAAAGCAGGAGAATCGCTTGAACTTGGGAGGCAGAAGTTGCAGTGAGCTGAGATGGCGCCACTGCACTCCATCCTGGTGACAGAGCGAGACTTCATCTCAAAAAAAACCAAAAACCAAAAAACAAATTCTTATACGTATGTTGTTATGAATTGGTATTTTTTCTTCCTCTTCCCAGGATTAGAATTGTTGGGCAACAGGATAAACATATTTTTAATTTTATTGGAGATTACCAGCTTGCTTTTTAGGAAGCTATTTTAACATTTCAGATTTCCCCCAATAATGTTCAAGGGTATTTTCTTAGACTTTTTGGGAACCTTTCAAAAATGAAAATTCCCAGGCTCCAACCACAAATCTGATTTCAGATCTCTGGTAACATTCAGGAAACTATATTTTTAAAAGTTCCCAGATGAATCTGAGGTGGTATTGAAAGCACTGCATTTAAGTACCCAGGAATATTAAAAATAACTGGTCTTACAGTACTTACATGAATAATATCAGCTTCAGCCAGATATATATATTAGAATCAAATTATCAAATCAAGACATGAATTGGCCACGGACATATACATCAAATGTAGGTCAAGGGCATATACAGTTTCAGAATGGAAAACTTAATTAGTTGGCTTGGGGTTAGCCTCTTGGGAGTCACCTATCCAGTTTAAAGCAACTGTGAACAACTGGAAAGATTTTGAAGAGAGGTGAGCATTTAGTGGTTGGTTAGAATTTTAGTGATTGAGAGAAGCTCAGAGGAAAGTAAAAGAGCATTACACATGTAAAACATTCCTGAGCATCTCCTGCTCAGAGAAAAGAGGTCACCAGGTGAGATGATAAGAGTACTGTGCTGAAAATCAAGAGGGTTTAATTTAATCCTGGTTAAACTACTAAACTGTCAGACCCTGGAACTCATTTTCCTGTTACATAAAATGAAGAGGTTTGATAGATGATTATTATGATCATTTCAATTCTGAACTAGACTGGAGATGATAATTTCCTTTGTCACCACACATACTCTAGAAAATCACTGTGTTAGATAATTTCCTCTGTCTATAAGTCTTGAGCCCAAGTCTGACAGAAGCTGATTATGTTTACAAAAATGAAATGAAGCAAGATGGGGATATTCAGTTGTTTGTCCACAGAGCCCTTTCTCTACAAAGTTTTTCAAGGGCTGTGATCTGAGACCCTTGTGGCCTACAGGAAACTATCCATATTCTAAAAATTCTTATTTCTAAATTCCAGGAGCACGTCCTCCATTGAATTCAGGGATGCATATTTATTATTTAATGAAACAAGAACTCCTGAGTTTGTGCTGTTAGGCTTAGTGATTAGGCCCCAGGAGAAGAGATGGCCTCAACTTTTATTTGTGTTTCCCTCCTCAGGCTCTGCAGATGGCATGGGAAGGAGGTTGCACTCAGCTCCTGGTCCTGGTCTCTCAAAGACTCCAACAGCAGAAATGGAGCACGGTCTCCATGAAGCCAGAACAGTGCGTACTTCTCAGGTAGCAGCCTCAGGTGCTAAGGTGCTGGGCCTGGGGTGGTATGTTGGGGAAGGAATTGTAGAGAGATGTGACTGGTAAGGATGATGATAAGGCAGAGGCATGGTGATATGGGGGCTATCAGAAGGAAATAAGGTCTATGATTGGGCTTCTTTTGAATGAGAGGAAATTGATACATGGCCACTATCTTACCAATACATTTAATTCAGGAGTCTTCCCCTATTCTTTCCCATACCCTGAGGATAGTGTCTGTGGGAAAACCATAAGTCTGGTATTATGTGTCTGCCTGTATGTGTCTGTGTGTTTGAAGGCTACACCTTGCCGAGGCCTCAGCAGGGAGTGTGGGGAGGATGAGCAGTACAGTGCAGAGAACTTTCGCCGCATCTCACGCAGTCTCAGTGGCACCGTTGTCTCAGAGAGGGAGGAAGCTGCAGTTTCTTCCCACAGTTTTGTAAGTAGAATCAGGGTCTGTCTGTTCAGAGCATCCTCTTCCTTGCTAAGCAAAAGTACAGTGCAGGTGAAGAAGCAGGGAGAAAGTGAAGGTTGTAATGTGAGGAAAAGCCATGTGTACTCAGCAAAAATAAGGACACACAGTCATTATTTTATTTAGAAGCATTCAGTTGGAGCCCAGAGAAATGTTCATTCCCTGTAGCAGTTCTGATAGGCTGTGTGTGTTGTAGGGTTTCCTACGTGAGAAGAGTAATAATACTTCAGAGGAATCTGAGAAGCAGAGGCTACTCATTGGGTAAGAACCCACTGCACTAATCAAAGGAAGAAGGGAAGAATTGGGATGGAGTATTGTTTTGCTTTTTCCTCTCACCCCCAGTATGTGATTGAATAGAATCCAGTGTGTTTTCAATCTAGAGTGAAGCATGTGCATCAGCGAGAAAAGGAAAAAAATCTTCTTGAGAATTTTCATATACTAATGCAGTAATGTGTAGTTGGAAGGGACAGGAAATCCCAATCAATTTCACTACCTTACCCAAGTTGAGTTTTCATTACAGTAGAGGTCAAGTTACAAAGTACCAGTGCATTGAAGATTGTCCACTAAGTCAGTTCAGTAAAAATGTAAAAACAGGTTTTAAATACATGGTACAAAAATAAAAAGGTATATGGTGAAAACCAAGTGTGTCTTCTACCAGCGCATCAAATCCAGTTTCCCTCCTAAGAGGTACTCATTTTTCCAATTTTTTTTTTTTTTTTTTAGATGGAGTCTTGCCCTGTCACCCAGGCTGGAGTGCAGTGGCGTGATCTTGGCTCACTGCAACCTCTGCCTTCTGGGTTCAAGCGATTCTCCTGCCTCAGCCTCCCAAGTAGCTGGGAGTACGGGTGCCCACCACCACGCCCAGCTAATTTTTGTATTTTTATTGGAGATGGGGTTTTACCATGTTGGCCAGGCTGGTCTTAAACTCCTGACCTCAGGCGATCCGCCTGCTTTGGCCTCCCAAAGTGCTGGGACAGGCGTCAACCATCGCGCCTGGCCTCATTTTTTCAATTTTTAAAAATCAGCTGAGGCCACGTGTGGTGGCTCATGCCTGTAATCCCAGCACTTTGGGAGGCTGAGTATGGTGGATCACCTGAGGTCAGGAATTTGAGACCAGCCTGGCCAACATGGCGAAACCCTGTGTCTACTAAAAATATAAAAATTAGCCAGGCGTGGTAGCGGGTGCCTGTACTCCCAGCTACTGGGGAGGCTGAGGCAGGAGAAAAGCTTGAACCCGAGAGGCAGAGGTTGCAATGAGCCAAGATTGAGCCATTGCACTCCAGCCTAGGTGGCAAAGGGAGACTGTCTCAAAAAAAAAAAAAAAAAAAAGCTGAATTTATAATAAGATTTATTCAATTTATTGTTCATAAATTCCTAAACAATTCTGAACAGGCTGCTATTCTTTTTTGGAAAAGGTGTACTTTACTGCCTACCATTTGTTCACCTGTACTTTCTTTTTTTTTCTTTGAGATGGAGTTTCATTCTTGTTGCCCAGGCTGGAATGCAATGGTGTGATCTCAGCTCAGCACAACCTCCGCCTCCCAGGTTCAAGTGATTCTCCTGCCTCAACCTCCCGAGTAGCTGGGATTACAGGCATGCACCAGCACGCCCGAGTAGCTGGGATTACAGGCATGCACCAGCACGCCCAGCTAATTTTGTATTTTTAGTAGAGATGGGGTTTCTCCATGTTGGTCAGGTTGGTCTTGAACTCCTGACCTCAGGTGATCCACCTGCCTTGGCCTCCCAAAGTGCTGAGATTATAGACATGAGCCACTGCGCCAGCCTGTTCTCATATACTTTCAGTGCATTTAATGGCAAATTGTTATTTTCCTAGGAGAGGTACTTCCTTTCTTCTGACTTCTGTATCATTTATTGATTCATTCTTTTTATTTTATTTTTAAAAACTTTTTTCTTTATTCCTGTTTTCTTTTTTATCCAACATACTGTACAAGTTTAATGCCATTGATTCATTCTTTTAAATAAATGCTTATTGATTCTGTCACAAGATTCCTAGCACAAAAATAAACAAATAAGTGCTTACTGAGTGGATGTTTTAGGTATTGTGCTAGGTGCTGGAGATACAATGGTGAGTTAGATATAGTCCCTGCTTTATGGAGCTTACAGTCTACAATGAGGGACAGATAAATAAACAATTATAATGTATTAAGGATTTGATCCTATGGGAACATAATAGAAGGGACATTTAAACCAAGCTTGAGGTATCATGGAAGGCTTCCTGGAAGAAGCAAAAAGAATATAGTAGGTAAAAGAGAACTGAGCAAAAATTAACTGAATTAAAAGAAGCTTATTTAGTGTGGCAGGATTAGAAAGTCTGGTGAGGGGAGATGATGGAGAGTGTTAACAAGAGAGGCTGCAAAGAATATAAACAAGGGTCAGATCATGGACCACAGAGAACCCTGTGTATCACCATAAGTAATTGGAAAGGATAGAGAGAAGCTGATGTACTTGAGACCCGGTTAGGAAGTAAAACATCAGTGGGAGTTGGTGCCTGCCTGGATATTGGGAAGGGGAATCAAGGATGATACCCAAGTGTTATGGGTAGATAATGATATATTTGACGGAAGATATGCATTTGGTTTTGCATATATTAAGCTTGAGTGGAGATATCTGGCAGGCCTTTGGAATGAGACATATAAGCTAGAAATTGAAAATTTGGAAATCATAGCCATTGAAAAGAGGAAAAGACTATTGCAGAAAGAGGAGCCAGGACATATCCCTAAACAGCATCAGATTTAAGGTAGTTCTTCTGAAGAACCCTAAAAGGAGACTGGGAAAAAAAGACTAGAGAGATTGAAGGGAAACCAGGGATGTGTGGTACCATAGGCACCAATGGGAGAATGTTTAAAGAAGAAAGGAATAATTAGCTATGTCACATGCTGAGAGAACTGGCACCTGGTCCTTATGTGGTATGATAAATGCCTATCTTGTGCCATCTTGTGGTAGATGCTGTGAGCATACACTGATGAAACAACACAAATTCTGCCCTTGAGTAGCTTTCAGTCTCATAAAGGAAATTAGACATATTGGCATAGAGATTATTTTATTTAATGTGTTATTTACTAAGTCCCCACATTGTTCTAGGTACTGTTCAAGGTGCTGGGGATACAGAAGTAAAAAGAAATCGGGAGAAAGATAATAAACAAATAAATGATTTAATGCCAGACAATGATAAGTATGATAAAGAAGAATAAAATAAGGCAAGAGAATAAGGAGTAAAGAGGTAATAGTGGTTTTTTTGAGGGCTATTCCTGATAGTAGGGTAGTGAGGGAAATCAGCTCTAAGGAAATAACATTTCATCAGAGATCTCAGTGATGTGAAGGTGTGAGCCATCAGAAGAATATTCTTGGTAACAGAGACAGTAAGTATAAAGGTTCTGAGGTAGCAATGAGTGTGGTGTGTTTGAGGAACATTAAAGTTAGAGTATAAAAGCTACAGGAATGATAGGAAATAAAGTGAGGAGCAGCAGGGCCATATCACATAGGACCTTGTAGGCCATGGTAAGGAGGAGTGGATTGGAGATAGGAAGAGCAGATTGAAGGCTGTTGCAGTAGTCCAGGTGAGTTTAAATATAAAACCTATAGGTAGAAATGACAGCCCTTGGCCACTAGTGGAATTGTGGATGGGAAGTGGGAAATCAAGGTCATTGCCAATGTTTGAATATGGGTGATTTGTGAAAATGAGGTGCCAGGAGGAGGAGTTTGGAAGGATTTTTGTTCAATTTTGGATATGTTAGTGTTTCAGATGTTAAAAGGGAATATTTCTGGGTATTTACCATAAAAGTAGATAACTAATAGGGAGTAGAGCAGGACATCAGCATCAGCAAATACAAACTTGACAGGCAAAAGAGAAAGCTGTGGAATGTGTAGCAGTGACAGGAGAGAAGATGGGGTAGAATTCTTGAGTCTACATTTAAACATACATAGTTTTATTCTCAATGCTTAGAATAAGTATAGGATTTTTTTTTCTCGTTCTCTCAGGCTTTTGAATTTCTCTCATTTCATTTTTATTTTTAAATTTCTATCTCAATCTCTCTAATTCTACTGTTAGCATTAAGGAGTTTGCTAAAGACCTGAATGTTAGGGTTGGGAAGGTGAGGGATATGAGGAAGACTGGGTAAGGGATGAGGATCTGAAGTTTGCAGTTTCTTAAAGGGCTGACAAGGGAAAGTGACTGAGTAAATTGGGTCCCTCTCCAGAACAAGGTATGTTTGTTCTCTGGTTCCCTCCGTTTCCCTTTGCTTGCCTCACTGTGTTTACCCAACTACATCCTGCTTTGTGTTAATCCTCATCTCTATGTTTTTTTGTCTTGTCTCATTATAAGGATTCATCAAACGTGAGGAAGCCTTTGGAAACCGGGCACCGTTGTTCCAGCTCCTCTTCCCTCCCTGTCATCCATGACCCTTCTGTGTTTCTCCTCGGTCCCCAACTCTACCCCCCCCAACCACAGTTCCTGTCCCCAGATGTCCTGATGCCCAGCGTGGCAGGGGAGCCCCATAGACTCCCAGGTAACTCCCCCAAATCTATTATTATGTGCCAGAATTTGGTACCTTTTCAAGGGCCTCTAAGGGTCAAATCAGTATACCTACAGGGAGGGGTTATATCCCAAGGTGGAGGGGTATGAGGATATGAATTACTGCTTCAAAGTCGTGCTTTGATCTAGATAATTAAATCATTTGTTGGGCACCATGGTTCTTAGACCAAGAGTCTAGACCACCACCCCTGGAGTCTGTCTACTTATAAGAATGAACTGCTTCAGTCATGACAGAACAGTTAACTCCCCTTTTAACTCACAAAGGGGAGTTAATACCCAGTCTTTGAGACACTTCCAGAACAGAAATGGTAATCTTTATCAGCTAGTTTTCTCTCTTTCTATCCTCTGAGTTTCAGCTGAGGGATGGTCTACGAGGACAGGGAATGAGTGGGAGAACTGGAAAGACACTTTATATGAGTTACCCACACTGTGTGTACAGACCCAGACAATTGTGGAGAAGGTGGGCAGCATCATTCTGGCTTTCTTTTTTTTTTTTTTTTGAGACGGAGTTTCGCTCTTGTTACCCAGGCTGGAGTGCAATGGCGTGATCTCGGCTCATCGCAACCTCCACCTCCTGGGTTCAGGCAATTCTCCTGCCTCAGCCTCCTGAGTAGCTGGGATTACAGGCACACGCCACCATGCCCAGCTGAATTTTTGCATTTTTAGTAGAGACAGGGTTTCACCATGTTGGCCAGCATGGTCTCGATCTCTTGACCTCGTGATCCACCCGCCTCAGCCGCCCAGAGTGCTGGAATTTTTTGTTTGTTTTTGTTTTTGTTCAAGATAACATTTTAAGAAAGGTTGGGAAAAAAAGGCACAGAGTCTTACACCTATAATCTCAGCACATTGGGAGGCCAAAGTGGGAGGACTGCTTGAGCCCAGGAGTTCCAGACCAGCTGGGGTAACATAGTGAGATCCCATCTCTATTTTTTAAAAAAAGAAAGGCTGAGTGAGGTTTTGGTATGGTGGCTGTAAAAGTATAGTCATCACAAAGGGAGTATACGGCCCTTCTTTTATATGTGTGTATGTGCTGGATGACAGATTATAGTGGAGGGAGGTAGAGGTATGGCAACATCCATGAGACTGTTTCATTTGCCCAGGTTGGAGGTATGAAATTTGATTTTGATGAATATTAAGAATTTTAAAAAATAGAATCAAAAGCAGTTAGGTTCTTTCTTTCCCTTGTGTGTATGCTCTTGGAGGAGTGAGGAATTGGGCTGAACAGCTAGGCATGGCTCTCTGGGAAAGACAGTGGTTTTCTGAAGATGCTGAGTCTTTGGGTTTCTTTTCTTTCCCCAGGAACTTCGAGGAGTGTCCAGCAGTTTCTGGCTATGTGTAACAGGGGTGAAACTTCCCAAGGGATCAAGTACACAGGAAGGACTTTGAACTACCAGAGCCTCCCACATCGTTCCAGAACAGACACCTCCTGGGCACCCTGGTCAGAGACCAACCAGCATATTGGGACCAGATTCCTGACTACTCCAGGATGCAATCCTCCGCTAACCTACACTGCCACACTACCAGAAAGAAGCAAGGGCCTTCAGGTTCCTCACGCTCAGTCCTGGGGGGATCTTTTCCATTCACCCTCCCACTCTCCCATTGTTCATCCTGTGTACCCACCATCCAGCAGTCCCCATGTACCCCTAAGGTCAGCTTGGAATTCAGATCCTGTTCCAGGGTCCCGAACCCCTGGTCCTCGAAGAGTAGATATGCCCCCAGATGATGACTGGAGGCAAAGCAGTTATGCCTCCCAGTCTGGACACAGGAGGACAGTGGGAGAGGGGTTTCTGTTTATTCTACCAGATGGGCCTGGAAGAGAGCAGCTCAGGGCTAGAGTCCTGCAGCACAGCCGATGGTAAAGGTCACCCTTTCTTTTCCTGGAGCTACACCTTTCTCTGTAAAACTGTAGTGTGGCAGTGCTGGTACCCTGCATCACTGCCATGGTTGTGCTATTCTCATCTCAACATAGAATTGGTGGGTTCTCCTAGGGGTGTCAGGAACCTCTAAAAAGACCGGATTCTTTGGGAGGGGATATTTGAAATTCCAACTTCCATTCCCCCTAGCAAAAGGAAGCAGCTGCTGTTTAAACATTTTATCTGAGCCACTTTAAAAATGAATCCATGGTATTACTCTGGATACTAGCCATTCCTTAGGATCTTAAGGTCACATTTTATTCCTGGATGCTTTATGTCCCCACCTCCACCTGAGCCCTCGTCTTCTGTTCCCTACTATATTCCCAACTTCTACTCTTTGTTTTATCCACCTATCCCTATTACCTGACCCTTTGTCTTCCCTATCTCTCACCCTTGGAGAGACATGTAGCCCGTGGTCATAGTTCTGATTGCATCATCAGGACATCCCCCCTGCCCAGGTATTATGGCCCATCAGCATTAAGTGTGCCCTCCGAACCTTAGGCCTAGAACGCGGAGCTGCCAACATAACATTCACCCTTTTGAACAGATGGGAGTCAGGCACACTAACACAGTCTTCTGTCCTCAGCAGCACAGCCATTACTGCCACTTGCTCAGTCACTGTTGTAAACCCTCAGAGTCAGCTGAACTATTTTAGGCCAAACATACTGTTTTTGTAAAGTATTTTTCATTAATAAATCTATAAGATAGTTCTATTTAATTTCTTGTCATTCTTCCCTTTGTATGCTCTTGCTTTTTTGTATTGGGGTGGGGAGGTCTGGACAAATATGTGAGGTGGCTTTTGACTGAGTGGAAGTGAGGAGCCAGAGAGGAGTTGAAGGATATTACAATCAAGGTGGGAATCAATGGGCCCTAAAATAAGGTGCCTTGCCTTGTTACTATTGCTGCTAGGATGTTTCCCATCCCTTTCCTGACAGAGCATTCAGTACTCAGTACATTATACACTTCCTTCCTTCTTCCCCTCCTTAGGGAGATTTTCTGGGGATTCAAGCTCTGACAAAGTTACTCCTGATCCATGTATTCTGGGTGTCTTCCCTCTATCTTACAAGTTTGTGATGTGCCTTCTATCCCTTCCTTGCTCTCCTTCCATGGGGCCCTCTTTTCCTTTCCCCTGTGGTGTTATGGCCCTTCCATGCCAGAAAGATCAACTTTCACCCATGCCTCACTCCCAAGAGACTCTTCCCTCTAAAAAATAGCTTGTGGGCTCCCTTTTTGGAAAATACCCATTGTTGGCCTTTCCCTTCCTCTTTTACCTTGGGTCTCAGGATTGAAATGGACACAAAGAAGAGGTAGAAAGGTACTCTTTGAGACCTTTGGACTACTGTTTACTTATCACCATCCATTATGAACAGATTTCGAGCACATGTATTATTATGCAGGAGGATGGGCAGGAATTTCTTATTCCATCCCACCTGGATCCTGCACCATCAAGATACGTAGAGCTTAGTGGATATGCTGGTCCCTGTCCATGATTCAACATATCTCCTGGTGTCATGGACACACTTCATCTAATAATTTTTGATGAACAGTCAGTTCTTGTCCCTCTACCCCCCTTCTCATGAATGTCAGTCACCTTTGTCACTATAAAGGTTCCATAAATCACCTGGGCCCTGATTCTGTGCATGCACAGAAATAAGGATTTAATTTCCAATTCCGTATTTACCACTTTGCCTTCCAGGAGGAGGCTGTGTCGTTTTCAGGTGAATTCTTTCAATTCTTTGCACATCTCTTGGTTTTATTCCCTTTCTTCCCCTTACCTGTTTTGACAAAACCTTAACTGCTTCAGCTGCATTCTTATTCTGTGCTTTGACTCTTGACAATTCCAGACTCTAAACAAAGGCCAGAATTCTCTTTCAAACTCCATTTTGGATGATCCCTTCTCCGCTCTAGAACCTATAATGCTTCCTCTATTCTCTAGTGCCCTGCCAACATTTTAATACTCATATCTGGTAGCTAAATCGTTATACATTTGTTTCTCTATTAGTAGGAGATCCTGAGGTTTAATCACGTTTTCTCAGTTTACTGGGATTGCCATGAGAGCGGTGTGTTTCCTCGCAGTCGTTCTTCACACCTAGCTACAGATTTGCCCCATTCTTGTTTCTGCATGCAAAGAATTTTAACCTGATCCCTTGGCCTCGTCCGGTTTATCTCCTAGCCTCAGTAATTTTGCCCGAGTCCCTAGAGCCTACCCCGCCCCCCCCCCCGCACGCGCAGTGCATGCCGGTCTTAGCCCCTCTGTAGGGAAAGAGGGTCCGCCATGTTCCCCGGCGGCGCCGCCGCTTGGCTCTGGTAGCCGCCGCCCCCGCCCCCAACCCCGCCCGGCCCAGAGCCTAGCCGAGCCCCGGGCCCAGCATGGCCGCCCCGGAGCCGGCCAGGGCTGCACCGCCCCCGCCCCCGCCCCCGCCGCCCCCTCCTGGGGCTGACCGCGTCGTCAAAGGTGAGAGGTGGACGAAGCCCTGGGGGCCTGGCCTGAGGAGCTAGCTGTGTGTGAGGGCGGGCGGGAGACCGTCCCCTCGGGAGTGGGCCCGGAAGGGCGGGCGAGTGACTGGCTGCCTCCCTTGGGGAGTGGCCCCTGGGCGGGCCCCTGCTGGGCAGGGCTGAGTCGGTGGCAGTGGCTCCGCGGTCTCCCGCTTGCTTTCAGGCCGGGGCGGAGGTTTTGCTCCCGTGGCATCCTAGTCGAAGGGGTGAGGCTGCTAGCTGCAGCTCACGAGCCCCTTTTCTCCCCACTCGGCCTGTCATAGCGGCGCAGGGGCCGCGATTAGCTTCCTGCCCCGCGACAGCTGCACTTCTGGCTTGCCGGGGCGAACAGAGGGGCTCGGAGACCTTCCGCCGCGCGAGGCTCGCCAGTGAGCAGTCAGAAATCACCTCGGCTTTGGCCCACGCCTGCTCCCCGGTGACAGAAGTCCGCCCTATCCGCGCCTAGGTAGCGCCAGCCGCAGGGATTCACTTTTGGCCGTCAGGTGCCACCCAGCGCAGAAATTCGGGGAATCTTGTGGGATTGGACCACGGTAAAAGGTCGGGGTAGGAATTGGGAGGCCAGCCTTTATAGTGCAGAAAGGGAGAAAAAGCAGCATAAACGAAAAAAAAAAAACCTTGTGGATATGAAATATTTACTTAGAGAACCATCAACCCTTTGGTCAAAAGGGGTTACCCCTCCCCTACAACACACACCCACACACTCAACCTAAACGAAAAAGTTAAATGTTTCTCAGGACAGAATCTATGGTTGTTTACCCACAACAGCAGATTAATTTAAAATAGAGAAATTAAGGTCTAGTTGAGAGTTGCTTAGGATTCCAAGCTCCCTGGGAGAGCCTACCAACCTCAAACATTTGCTATGGAGGTGAAAAACAATTGAAATGATTCTCTTTACGATGTAGCTTGATTGATATTTGAAATCGTAGAATAAACTTTTCCTTATTTGTATTGTATTTATTTTTAAAATATAGGTACTTTTATTTTCATTCAGCTTCTCAAATACTCTGGCACAGTATTTAAACACTGTTAGCCTACTTTTTGAAATCTGACTCATGTTTTCATTAAAATATTTAAAAACAAGAAAACTTTTTTTTAATAAAAAATTTTAAGCCAGAGCCTTCTTTGGTTCTTAAAAGAATAATACTAATTTGGCCCGGCGTGGTGGCTCACACCTGTTAACCCAGCACTTTGAGAGGCCGAGGCAGGTAATCGTTTGAGCTCAGGAGTTGGAGACCAGCTTGGGCAACATGGCGAAACCTTGTCTCTACCAAAAATACAAAAAATAAAAATTAGCTGGGCATGGTGGCACGCCCCTGTAGTCGCAGCTGCGCCGGAGGCTGAGGCACAAGAATCTCTTGAGCCTGAGAGGCGGACGTTGCAGTGAGGCGAGACCGTGCCACTGGGCGACAGAGCCAGAACCTGTCTCAAAAAAACAAACAAACAAACAAACAACAACAACAACAAAAAAAACCCAAAACACTGCTTAGCACCTAGGCTTAAATAAATTGTTTTTAAAGTTAGTAGTATCTCCATTTGGGCCAGGCATTGGAATGAACTGCATAAACAGTTTATGGAATTCTTATACGGATAAATCTTAAAAATAAAATTAAAAAAATAGTAATGCAGGCACTCATTCTATCAAGAAATCCTGGAGCTTTATGGGGGTGGGAACGGGGACATTGGCTACCTCTTCATTTTCTGACTATAGTTCTGTGTTGTGTGTTCATTTCTCTGGGTACTTTTCACTAGACTGTTAGATGGGATAACCAATCACATTCCTGAACAATGAGTTTATGCTATCCTTATGCTTATGAATCTTCTTATTCCTCGTCATATATATGGTAATGTTTTTTCTGTACTGCTTTAATGCAGTAAAAATAAGATTCCAAACATAAGGCAGTTTCCTTAGGGGTGAGTTTTGAGTCCAAGGCAGTCATATTTGCAGATTATTGGTGTGGAATAAAAGCGATTTGAATTAGATAAATAGGAAAGGAGCTTGTTAATATAGAAAATTATAGTTAAATAAAGCTCAGGGTTATCATATCTCTTGTGCTTCATTGTGCCCTCTTCATAGAGACCACTTTCATTTCTTTATGGAATTTGTTAACCAGTTGGAATACCTATATAGATCCTATGTTTAAAAATGGTGTGTAACAGACTAGTTTGCATTGCTCATGGAGTGTCCTGCATTTACTGGAAAATTTACCTTTCATACAGATCCAGGAATCCACTTTTAAATTTCATCTTCAGGATTCTTCCTTGCCTTTTATTCAGCAATTATACTGTAATGTGATACCCCATGTTAGAGAATACTGGTTGCCTGAAGATAAAAGATGTCTGAGTTCAGCTTAAGTTTAACTTATTAAAATTTAAATTTCTTTTAAGTCCAGAATGTGCTGGTAGTTTTGTATCCATACATTTTCATAGTAATGATATTATGGAGACCATATGTTGGCATTGAATGCAAGTAGTCTTTTTCTCCCTGGAAAAAAAACTTTATTAGCACCATAAGGTAAGTTT